CCTCCTGCCGTTAGCAGAGTCCGAGCGGAGTTTCCCAAATTTGTCCCAACTTGCCCCCCACTGATTTCTGATTCAGCTGCCGCGGAAAAAGCAGCGGCTCTTCCGCCTACGTTTTGTCCTCCTATTTGACCTCCTGCTGCCTGTTATTTGGCTGAAGCTCAGTCGGCGATGGCGACCCCTTCGCCTGTCCATATCTCTCACGCTGTTTGTCGTCGTTCTGTGCAGCGGTCGTCACCACGACCTCTGTCAGTGTGGCCTTTGCTCGTCGACCGTCACAGCGTTACTTTCTAACGTGAACGGAGGTAGTACTTATTGCAACCTCCGGTATTGTCATAGTCGTCGCGGGCCAGGAATTGGCCGTAATTCCTGCCCTTTGTATCAGTGACCCGCATGTTGTCAAACGTCCCCCTCCGAACCGCTTGTCTGACTGTTGTCGTCGGCTGGCCAGCTCGATTATCGCTTACTAGCGCCACTGCTGCAGTTCGGCCCTCGGAAACATCGAGTTGTAATTGCGCAGCGAAAAGGCCAGCATCAGATCCTCCTTTCCCGGTCGCTCTCTCCCTTTCCCGAGATTTCTATTCTTTTCGGTCTAATGTAGTTAGTCGGTACAAGTTATATAGTAGTAGCTGTGAGAGGGAGAGAAGGACCAACAAGCCTGCTTGAGGACTGCTTCAAGGGCGACGAGTGACTGTGTGCGCGGGTAGGACCGAATGGGGAGCTAGGGGCAAGTCAGCAAAGAAATTCTCAAAGCAGAGATTTGCCCCGGAGGGGGCAGCAGACGGCTGGAGAAAGCTACTACTGATGACAAACGTCAACTTTGTTTTTGAGGATGATGACGCAGTACTTCTGTTGAACGACAGTCGAGGACTTGATTGACGTCAGTGTAATTTATCCAGGTCGAATTCGGAATATGTAGACTGCTTATTTCAAATGCAATCTAACTACTAAAGACATGCAAGTCACGTTGAGCGTATGTAGTAGAAAGTTAAGTCGTACTTACGTTACTGCAGGAATCGATGTGAGCCATATAGTAACGGTACTTAGTGTCGAGTACTGCATCGACGAGTAATTTTTTACACCTTAAGAAGTACGAAGCCGTGTGTAAACCTGTCTGTGTATTGGGAATAGAGGTCAAGTGCCCTTATAAAAGTTAAATGACTAACTGTTGTATTAATCCATAGGTTAGTCTGTGGAGAGCAAAGAAACACTCTGGAAAGCTATATTCGGGCACTAGCACCTGTGAAAGGCACAATGTTCACTTCAGTATGATTTAAAGATGATCCGAGCTACGAAGTTGAGGTTGTTTTCTGTTGGTCTCATCGATTCTCAGATTATTTGTTATAGTAGATCAATCTATTTTCCCTCGGTACTTGAAGGGATGGACATCGAATTCGACGGTACCTTCGTGGCCCGAGAACAGAATCAAAATCACAGCGCAGAATATGCTATATTCTACGGAATGAGAAACTACATTGTGTTACACGTACAGCATATGATGTTTGTCAAGCTGCCGTATCACGCCCTTATTTAAGGTCGTGAACTAACTTGAAGCACTTCTACATGTGGGACGTCACAAGGCTAGCATGTTAAATGAATGAATTACATAAATTTGTCACCTGCCTTAAATTGAAACGTCAGTCTGAAAAGACGCGAGAGAGTTTCGACAGCTTTCATGCCGGCATGTTTTGTTTTCTTTTGATTACGCATTTTTTCCACATATGTGTCATAACGATATATATATGTATATGGTCAGTATGTCGATTGACTAGAGCTCACTAAAGCCGTGTAGACTTTTAAAAAAATGCTACAAGCACAATTCAGTGAATGGACTTAAATGCCATTACTTCGCAAACCATATGCAATTAAATGTCTCATTGCTAATAGGCGCCCAGGTCGAAATGGCTCAGGGGTCATTGGCAAGACTCAGTAGGTTCAAAGTAAGTATATTGATCGCAGATTGGTACTTGAATAGCAGAGCAGTTTGAAAGTAAAGACACCGCTCATGTACACGATATTCTCTAAAAGATCTGCTAGCTCAAATAAATGGAACACATCTCTGCTCAGTGCAGTCGTTACGTCAGTGGAAAAAGAATGCTTGAAACTCTGCTTGCTGAGAGGTCTACGCTGCTACATTGCCACACCATTTACCGGAGATGTACTGTTCGCAGGTTCAGACGCCTTTACCGCCTCCATGAGCATTGGTTTCTGATCGGCCCTGTCGAGTTGTCTTGCTACAGGCAGATCCAGTGCAAAAATCTCTCTGGCCATCTTTGAAAAGGTCAATTTGCCGGTAGAAAAAATTCGAAGCACGTCACGCATGCGTACAGGCACAACTTCGGTATGTTTTGCCGATACTCCGCACTGACGTCCTCCGAGGACACCTTGCAAATGATCCTGTCTGAGAATATTGTCCATATGTCATACATGGATGCCATGGCGGTGGGTAGGAGTTCAGAGGAATAAGAAACTCAAGAAAAGGAAGCAGTTCCCGTCTGATTGCCGCAACACTCTGATGCGCGATGTGATGCGCTGCTGTTGTTGTTGGGGAGCAAGGTTTCCTTCTCGGACGCTGTTACAACGCTCCGGCGCTTTTAGGCCCGTGATTTGCAGGAGGCCGGCTCTCTATATTTTCTTTGTTCTTTGTCCTTAAAAGACCTTCTTTTCGCCTGCTCAGTCTGAGTAGTTGGAGATTGTGGACTGTGAATTTGGAGATAGCAGTTGTGACGACGATGACGCCTTGGGCAGAAAGAGCATATATCTAGCTGCATGTGTGGCTACGGAGTCGATATAGAATAAGCGAAGACATCGTTCGCCATTCATATCGTTATTTCAAGGAACAAAGGCAGTGTTTTTTCAACAGTAAATATGTCGCGACGGTTTGATTTTCCTTCGAGAAAGGCCATTCCCGAAGGGCGTACCCTGGCCTGCCAACACGCTCGACGCTTTTAAAGTACGTCGATACGAGCAGAGTGTAAGTTTTTGTGATCTCCTTTCCTTTATATTGTCACGGTTTGTTCCGCTTAGGTAGCTGTCGGTGTAAAATGGTACGTCGGTTCGCCATATGAACAGTGAAGTTAACGGAGAGTGAATGAGGGATGAACACAGATCGATGTCGTCGAAAGCCTTGGCGACGTCAATGTATTCGTCAACGAAGAGAGTGAACGCTCCTCGAGCGGGGTAGCGCCGGAAGATGCGGCTGACTTATGGCGAAAATCTGGGGATTTCACAAAAGCTGCATTTATAGATAATGTATGACACAAAAAAAACAAACAAATAAATAAATTATGCACACATTGTAAAGTCGGTACATCGCAGCTATAAGTTACACAGTAGATGATAAACGTTCTCCTTAATTACCTAATACTTCTATTATTCGAAATACCATGTATGTTTTGCGGTTGATTGACATCTATAGAGATTTTTAGCATTGTTACTGGGATAAAAACGTTAAACATGAGAAATAGTAACGGTGTGAAGTTGCCTATAAAGTACGTTTAGCTTGTTACCATGTGGTTCGTGAGATTCGGCCAAGGAAGTAGATAAAACAAAATTTTAGGTCACCTAAAAATATTAGTAAAATAATTGTTCGCGTGAGCCTAAAGGCATAAACTAGGACACTTTGCCCAGACATAACGTGCCTTTTTAATTATTATTTTTTTTTTTATAGAATTCAGGTAAGTAAGTTGGCATTGATTTTTATCACAGGGTTCACAGAAATTTTAGATTCGAAGATTTGAGTTTAAGCAGCCTTTATATGTAATTATTAACATTATTTTTTCTGCTAACGAGCGTTTAAATCTAAATTGCAGGCTGACAGGCAAAAACGTTGTTCCCTGAACCATTCCGGCTAAGGGGGTCAAATGCCGAGCCCAGTGATTATAACTATTTTGTGAAGAATGATCGTTGGACTGACGATCGCATTATGCTGAGTATCACCGCTCACGTTATCTATAATATGTTAAATCGTCAATGCGTCACGAATGTAAGCTCATTGATGGAACTGGTTTTCCATCGTCGGTACAAGAATAACTACAAAACAGAGTCATCAAAAAATGCCAAGTGACATAAAATCGACCCTTGTTTACTCCAGGGCATTATCATGCCAACCATTTACGTCATAATTGTTCAATTATTGGAAATACTGGTCAATTTCTCCTAGATAAATAAGTCTAGCGTGTATACATTTTTTATATTACCCGGGTGACACTGTGAGTGATTTTTTTCTATCCCTCGTTCTTATTACATATATTTATTGTCTCCAGCGGACCAGAATTTCGCTTGGGGGGGGAGGTCGTCTCGTATAAACGGGCATAATTGGAGAGATCCAAGAAGCTGAATGTAAAGCCTACCAAGACGACTTCAACTTATAAATTGCATAGCTTTGGAATGATATATTGAGCAACGTAAATGTGTTAATATTACTAAAAATTTCACGATACTAAGATTTTAAATTTTACATCAAGCCTTCGTATCAGAGTAACCTCTAGCGTACAGCTGAAACTAGTTATATAGTTGAATTGCTACGAGCACACTTCGTCAGAGAAATGCTTAACGGCAGTACCAAGGGGCGGACAATTTAAAACGTTCGTTTATTCATACAATTTTTTACCTATCATTGAAGGCATAATGAGGCTATACTGAAAGTATGTATCCATCCATGTTAAACGCGTACGATCATTGAACAGGGTTGGATGTGGAACAGATTCTAAATCCGGCCCCTTACCAGTCCAAGGCCTTTTCCATTAATTTCGCCATTCACACGGGTGAGTCTATTTCCGTAGCGGTCTCCCGTAGTTTTATTTTAGGGTTTGAATAGTTGATAGGATTTCCTTCTCCGGAATATTTTTTCCGTGGCGTCGAATTGAAGGATTATCCGAGGCCTAATATTCATGCTCTGACGTCGGAAAATTTTTATCGCCGATAACGATCCTTTATAGAAATAGCTCTTCTTCTATCGTGCAGACAACGAAAGTTATTTAGCTGTTCGTTTGCCAATTTTTTTTCCACATCTTCCCCAATTGACAACAGTCATCTGGGTCACTTTCGTCTGTGCAAAGAGCTCTCGACTGCGACGAACTTCGCTTAAGGAGTGCCTACAGCTCATCGTGTGGCCCTCCGGGACCTGATTTGCTCTCGGAAGTGATTAAACCAGATCCGGCAAGCGGTACCGCTTTCTGCACATTTGCTTTCGACTTCACAATTAATTAATGTTGCCTCGGTAACACTTTTCCCATCGAGTGAATTCGACAATGTCGAGTCCCATGATGGAATATACCAAGTCGTCGCTTCATCACAAAGCACAGTTGAAACATTATTCCTGGCAGGTTCCTGACGCCAGTATTGTTCATCGGCTTTAATGGGGACTTCCTTTTCAATCTAATAATGATACGTACGTACGTTCGTTTCGGCTCCAAATCATATTTTATTTAACGACATATAAATCCTCTAAGTTCTAGATTATATGAGGTAGAATAGCGGTATTTTCATACGTGCTATATATACTCCCCCTTGTTGTCCACACATTAAAACTAACACTCTGTTAATTTCTCAATACACGTATGCCTGTGATTCGCACAAGCATACCTAGCGTTATTAATAACTTAATAAAATATACGATAGGTCTTACCGCAGGCTCCTTATCGCCTTCCCTAAAACATGGAAGCATTCGAAATCGAGCGAACCGGAATCTGACAAATATGGTGGCTAAGATCGAATCCGTTTGCTTTGATCTGGGCCGGGACTAGAGTGTAATTATAAGACAGTGCGCTATAATTCCAATGCTCTTTGTTGCTTATAAGGATTTACGTTCATAGCGAGCTATTTTTCCATTTTGAGGGCCTGAGGTGTAGTCACCTTCTGTCGCTTGTTTAACTTCCCAGTTTTACGTCGCAAAGTGACCGTACCAATAGTACGCCGTTGTTTTGCTGAAGACCTCCCCATTTAATAATTTAACTAGTTTTTCGATGAATCTCTATATATTTGCTACATTGAACCTTTCAAATTAAAGTACAGGCATACCGCCCAGTCGAATTTCTCATATTTATAATATCAAATCAGGAAAATTATCACAAATGTTTACAATCATGGGATAAATTCACAACTACATTCACAGTACGACGTATCAGCAGCAACAGCACGACGAAACCATACTGATCATACAGGTTTTCCGGCCAATATCGCCTGTGGTACGGTACTGTATACTGCTCGTTGGTTCTAATTTACTTGGCCATATTGTTACCTTTGTAAGTCCTTTATCTGACATTAAGTAGATCCACTCTGGATATTCGTGCCCATCCGATCTATACGAGTTTTAAGGAATAGAAACAAATACGCGATACATACCATATGTGTTCAAAGAATTAGATAACACATCAATTGACCAGGCCGGCGCAAATATAGCCTACTCGACGATTCTAGTCTATTGAATATATCGAGGGATAAAAAAACAGGTCGTAGATATGACTGTTCGAATGGTAACCTTGTTATTACTCTACACACTCAATAACATGAGCAAATAAATCAAATGTGTATAATACGGCGAAGTGTCACTATTTCGTATTGCTTAAATAGAGAAATGTCAAGAGCGCTGTATACACGTACGAATATTGATATGTTCCATATAAATAGTTATATATTTTAGCTAACCCGTACTCCTCGAGCTCTGATTGCATTTCGAACGTTTGTTGGTCGTTGGCGTGATTGGCTGGTTTCTGGTGGCCATTATCTGTACTGAAGAGTCAGTGCAATGAATTGGACTCCGTGCGCTAACACCCAGATCAATCGCGTGATTCGTTTCTTTTATTAACTACGACCTTGCTTATGAGCCTAGTCCTCGTCGTTCTGCTTGTTTTGTATTAGCTCACTTTTTCTGTATGTGACTGTGTGTATAACTGTGTTCATTGCGTTGATGTGCCTTCTCGACTGCGTGTTTCGGTTGCCGTCCTATAACAACGATAGCGGCTACCGCCGAGAACGATCAACGTTCATTTACTGTTCGAACCAGAGTTTAGCCAGTTGTTTTCCGCCTGTTATCCTGCCAGGCAGGAGGGTAAGCTGACGGTCCTGTGCCCGGCAACGACATCGTTTGACTCAGTCCTGGCCCCTTGGTCCTTTTTCTCAGCCTGAGTCGCGTCATTAATTTCGGCCCATTCGCCCACTCAATTACACCCGTACCCTCTCCGACTTGGCTGACTTGTCAGTTAGTTCAGAGTTGCCATATAGCGAGTAACCGGCTAGAAAGAACGGTCGGACTCACCTCCTGGAATACACTTAGAGAGGAACGCGCACCCATCCTCGATCACGTTGCTGCTGAACGGCTCCGCGGCCGTGCACCACACGTTACACTCGCGGGCATGCAGCACGATACGACCAGTATGGCACGCCAGTGACTGTTTTTCTATGTTATAGCGTAGCCGGTTATAGCAACCTCAATCAGAAGAAGGAAGAACCTCTTCTAGATATGAAGGAAGTGGGGCAAACCATTACAAGCCACTGGAAGCAGCGAGAGAAAGCGCCTTGAAGCGGTGAGTGCGCCTGCGTGACTCCACCCCGACCAACGTAGGCTCCGCCCCATCGATGCTGGGAGCACGGGCTGGCGCACACACAGACAATGGGACACAGAAGCGCGGAGAATAGAACGCTTCGAAAGCGCGAAGCTGGTAGAAGGTGCTCTCAGCGCCACCATATCGTCGAGATCGCAGTCACCGTTGAAAGGGGCCGATAGACAAGCATGAATTGAGGGTACCTGGACCATTTGCCAGAAAAAACGCATGTCTTTCGCTAGGGATGTCGGGCCGGCGACCTCTAATAATGAACAAGATGAAATGAGATTCTGCAAAAGTAATGAAGCAACTTTCGATGGCGATGTGAGCAACAATGAATAATCCATGCGTTTTAGTATGACAACATGTCATTTTGATAAACAGCAGCGGAGAAGCTAAAACGTAGGGGTAAAGTGCCGCATCGTGAAGGCGTTCTGAGGCGCGCGAAATTTTAAACGAACGGTGTCTCTACAAGCAGAAACTTAGTGTGTTCATGTTCAAATATTCGGTGCGGTCATGAGGGTGCATACAGCTAGTTTAAAAGAAAATTAACGCCAGTGGATTCCATGAGCGTTCTGCGATTTTGCGCGCGTTATCTGTTGCGCGCCAAACGGATTTCCTGTACAGGTGAACAGTTATATTACGAGCCTTGGAGATATGGTGCAAACCTAAATGTCTATTTATGTTGGTTTTGCTGAATTTATGGCAACTAGATTTCCTAAATGCCAACCAAGTATGAAATTTTAAATTAGTTTTACTCGCATGTGTCTTCATCCTTGCGTCAGTTGTTCGTGAGGTGTGATTATACCTCGGCGATCGTTCGCTCGTTAACAAAATCGACCAGGGCTGGAAGTGCTCCGAAATCGCTTTTCAAGTCGTGAAGTGTATACGTCCGAATGAGAAGATAAAGTGCGTGTGTATATCGTGCGTGTGCCGTGTATGCGATAAGCATGGAGGAACTGACGGAGTTCGTTTCGAAAACGTTCAAGGACGCCTCGTCTGAATCCTTACCACAGTCTTCGCGTTGCCTTTCATTTATGGCTCACCACCTTGCCACACCGTTTAAACGCGATGACGAAGAAGACTCAAAGGATTCACGTTAGTATGATACCTTCATCACTGTTTAAAGTGATGTACCACACTATTACATCGAAGCGTTGTCTTTGTAGATGATCATTTCTAAATTATGTCGAATCGCGGTACTCTTCGCGTCTGGCGACTTACGTATTTCGAACTTCATCAGCATCGATATAGAAGCTTTCATGTCATTTTCTATCCTGCACTTACACCTCTAATAATGATGAGGTCGTTTGTTTCGCTGGGATCTACATATAACAATAGCTATTAGTGATACTATAGAAATGGCTTTAGTGATTATGCTATAAGATTTAAGAGTTAAATACTTTACTGTAATTACTTAGATTTGCCACTGACCTGCGTCCCATATTTAGAAACAGATGTCTCGTTATTTGAAATGGTCGTAGAGCAAAGTTAACTCTGATTAAGGCAAGCACTAATCATCCCGCTTGCTAACCAATTAAAGTTGTTCTGTCGGGGTCGCTGAATGGTGCTCCGCCCAGGATGCCACTCGACCCACCCACAACGAATACACTAACTTAGCAGCATCAATGTCTGCGGAAACAACAACAAAACATTGGCAGCGTTCAGTAACGTCAGGTGAAATCGTTTGTCCTACACATATTCCTCCATAGGCTTTATTTATTTAGTTGTAGTGAAGTGCATTAACTATAAAAAAAAATCCAGCAAGGAAATACAAACATCTATAGTCGATTCTATGTGTTTGTATGTATGTAAATCGTGTTTGCCAAACGTCCGACGCCCAAGTACATATCTTTGAATATGCGGTTAATACCTCTCAGCCAGCATAAGTGGTCCGGAGACGAGTAAGAAATGGAACGCCTCTGATATCAGACCTTATTGGATCATAGTTCTAAGTTCAAGTTGAGGGTTTTCGAACTTCTTGGTGATCACTAGGAGTAGTGAAGAATGGTAAGCTTGCAATTCCTTAGCCATTTTCACTTTGAAGTCATTATAACATCCGAAAACCTCGGAAGCTGGCTAACATTGGAGTAGTGTCTCTGCTCCGAATTTGACCATTCGAAGGATCGTCGATTCTGTGGATCCGGGAAATCCTAGTAGAGGCACACCAGTACATCGCTTATATAGTTAATGAACATTGAATAATCATCGAGTGTCGAAGCGAGACACGCAACAACGACACTTGAGCTGGTTTTAAGGGAGAGAGCTTCCAGTCGTCAGGTATCCTTGTCGAACAAAAAACAAAGTTTTCTTAATAGCACGGGCAATACATCTAAGTTAATGGTCAGCTTTGCTGCGGTCACCCTTGCCCGGATCCAGGGCTTTATTGCCCTGACTAAATCGTTTGAAATCTGTGTACTATGTTCTGGTAATCCACCTTACTACTTGGTAGTTAAATCAGCATACTCAAATATATTCCTGCATAGTTAAACATCTAAACAATTATTACCTCTGGAGAAAAATGGCACGGAAAGCTGTTTTTCGCTCATGGCTGCTTGCGTGAGCCATGTCTCATGCAGTTGACAGGGCGATAATACATCACCGCCCTACACATTATGAGTTGCTCACTTGGAAATCGAATATTTTTAAGTTAGACGTAGTGAAAGTGTCCTTTTCGAAAGATAAGCTGGGCCTGTCACTTGGCAAAAATAGTGCGCGGGTACGCCTTATAATTCTGGGTGACCCCGTAAAGCATTAGCGGATAGTTCTGCCGATTATCTAGAAAACAGTCCCGTTACGGTCAAGATATAAATACTGGCTTGAACCGAACATGTCCATCGGGCTCTACTTGCGTTTTCTGAAGAGCCCCAGTCAGCAGCTTATAAATACAAAAATGTACCACTGTATTAAGAAACGCCATTTTTTCGTCCCGTCGTTAAGAGCGTCAACGTTTCCAAAATCCATTTGTATTAAGTGATAGTCCAATACAACCGTATATCATAGTACCGAATAGCCTTTTGCCACAAACGATAAGTAACAGTAACATATTTTATTTAATTCTTGGAAAGCGTAAATGTGTTCGTGGCTTCTATACATGTACAAGGACCCATTAATTTGTTACCGTTATTATGTTACAATTAGATTGTTTTTTTTTTTTTAGGACGAACGTAACAATATCAAGTTGGATTTGTCAGTGGGTTTATTTCAATTTTAAGATGGGCTGTTCATCGCTGAGACAGGATCGGTAAGAGATCTTCGCGTTGTTGGTGGGTGCACTAGATTTCGATCGATAGGATAGAATCATTGCCTTAGGCAACAGGCAGACCATATGAGAACGACAAGAGACACGGAGTGATCTGATAAATGCATGTAAACAAGGTAAGATTTAATTGTTTTTCCCAGTCAACTCGATACATAAACTGCAAGACACACGCACCGGGCAACAGGATTTGCTGTATTGAAATGCGTATTGTAAATGAGATACTAACCATGTCTTTTCGGTCGTCTGAAACCAATCTCAGTTGTGATGTATAATCGATTTCGTAAAAAAAAAATATGCTCATACACTGTTTCTGTATCGCAAAAAAAGTCCCCACTCTTTGCCAGTCCAAGTTACTTACTTAGTATTTCGCGGTAATTGTCCTGAAGGGGTAGATTTATTGTGCAGCTTTTCTTGTAATTTTATTTGACAGCTTTTATTTGATAGAAAACAGTCCGCTTATATTTGTTTAAAGGTATTTTCTACATGTTTTTTTGGTTCTCTTTTAGTTTATATTTCTAGTTGCTATCCATGCCAGACATCACTATGAAATAATTGTTTTTGTCTGAATTTTTCTAAAAAAATATGCATTCTAATTATTTTTTGCAAACTCAAAAATGCTTATTTCTTTATTAATATTTATTTTGTGTAATTTATTAATATATATATATATATATATATATATATAACAATGTTCGATTCTTATAGGAAACTTTTGTAAATTTAAAAGAAATAGCTGGCACGTTAGTAGTAATCCAATAAAGTTTTAAAAACATACTGAAAGGTAGCTTCAAGTAAGTTGAACAAGTCAAAACGTTCTATTAATTCATCCTAGCTTAAGCTTAGAAGAACTATGAAAGATAGCCGAAGCGAAACTTCGATAACGAATGTTCTTTCTCGAGATAACTGTTTGGCTTTTGCCCTATAAAGTCCCTATAAAATAGTCAGTTATTGGAACACTTGTTACTCAAAATAAAGGAATGTGTCGAATATATCGTATATAAAAAGAAACGTGTCTGTATACTGAGATAATGAAAAACAGCCAATGGTGGCGCATTGTGCTTGCTGGTATATTATTCTTATAATTTTTTCCGTTTACATCGCTGTTTGCAAGATAACTGCGAAAAGCCGGTCAACAATCTTCTTATGCTGGAGAAAGACGGAAGAGCATGGGAAGGATGGGTGATTCATCGTTAATTCTGCCCCTATTTGGATTGAGGATAAGTGGCTCAGGGAACACATTCTACCTCCTATATATAAACTGTGTGGTTTACCAACGGCAGTAAAATTGATATATCTCGACAAGTTCGCCCCTGTTACGCTAATGCCACGTATTGGACCGAGGCTATTCGAATGAATGTTTTACATTCAATCTATCCACAATTACTGAGTCCTACATCGATTGATTTAGAGTATCAGAGCAGGCTTCGCAGCTTCATTGAAGCACTTTCGCATACAGATTAGAAGCTTCAAGTTATTCTATGATAAACTACCTTTGGTATTCATTTCATAGATCCCCAGTGCGTTCCATGATTCGCTAAGACCAGGTATAGCAATTTTTTCAACGTAAGAACCGTTACGTAAAAGGTCCAGGGTAAGTTTTAACACTAGACTTCTATTTCGCATGCAGTGAATGTTAATGAGTAAACACCATTAACGGCAAAGAGTTGTATACGACAATAAGATTGCTAAATTGGCAAGTTCTGTTGTACGTATTGTTGGATTTTGAAACGACGCCTGACCTTTGATTGATTGACTCATAGTAAAGACTGGGCGGAAACTCAAAATGATAGCAACTCTCACAACATCGTGAACATCTGCACTTCTTTTCCTGCTTTTTCTTTCGTTCTGTTTTGGATTAAGACCAAGACATTAACAAGATACTCAGTGGCCTACGTGTAAAGGGCAGCATTCAAAAATCGCAAATTATCTCAAAGGGAAAGTTTTTTTTTTTTTTTTCCTAAAAAAACATCGAACTTCCTTAATATTAAATAAAGAACGAATTTGTGTAAGTCTTATACGTTAGATTTGATATTGTTCTGAGTGGACCTGGGATCACACAATTTTTAGCTCTGTATTTTACTCTCCGCTCACTTTACGGTTCTCATGGACACAACCACGAGAGCCGTAAAGTTGGCGGACTCAATTCGCTGACCGCTTAACTTCCATGTGGGTTCCTCAGGCCTTGCTTTATTTGCTCTTAAATAAAAAGCTTTTTTGTAGAAGCTTTGTGTATGCATTGTAGGGCTTTTTTCGTCATCTTTACTTGATGTTACGCGTGTTCTATTTAGTAGTAACTTAGCTGCATGTTGCCCTCAGAAAATGCGCTATGTTAAATGCGCCCACAGCCAAACTTATGCATATTCAAGTTTCGTACGCAAACACGTTACGACTACGCCATCACAGAGACCTCTTTCTTATCTCCGAGCAATTAGTTATCAAATGAGTGAAGCTTACATGTAAGTATAAGAATTTTTTTCGTTTTAAAAGGTAAAATATCATTGCTTGTACAGGATTTCTGAGTCCTCTAACTTTTACTCGCATCCTCGGTCACTGTTGTTCAATTTGGTTGGCGTGCCGTCTCCAAGGGAAATTATCTAGCTGTCCTTTCTTTATGCTTACATTCCTTATGCTAGGGGTAAATGGGCCAAGTGACCTTGGCCTGATTTCGTGATGTCTTTTAAAACCAGCCGTATTATGAATATATGACTAACGTTCTCTGGGTGCATCTGGTCGTTTCTCAGCGAGCTGAACTTCGTCCTTCAACTTGAGAAAAGATCCGTAGGGGTAGTTCTGTTTGATATAGCTGCGATGGTATAACGACAACGTTTTCACCTAA